CTGATTTGGACCTTGAGATTTCAGTCCGGTGCTCCATTGTGGGTCTCTGTCTCTGTCTCCTTTCATCGCCTGATGAAGGTTAATATTCAGGAGGAAGCCTATATGATTTTCTTTGGGTTCTCCTTCTTATTTAGCTTCTCTAAGAACCCGAATTATAGGCTCAATGTCCTTTATTTATGGCTAGAAACCAAATATGAGTGAGTACATCCCATGTTCCTCTTTTTGGGTCTGGCTTACCTCACTTGTTTTCTATTTCCATCCATTCTGCCTGCTTCCCACAGAAGTTAAGTCCCAAAGAAATTACACAGAGGTCTACATTATTTATAAACAAACTGATTGGCCTAGTAGCTCAGACTTTTTATTAAGACTTATATTAGCCCATTATTCTTGTCTATGTTAGCCATGTGGTTCGGTACCTTATTTGACAAGGCAGTCACATCTTACTTCTTCTGTGGCTGGGTCACAACTGCTGAAAAATGAGCTTTTCTCATTGCCCCACCTCTACTTCCTGCTTGGTTGTCATGCCTATAATTCCTGCCTAGTTACTGGCTAATCAGCATTTATTAAAATACAATTGACAAGGTACAGACCATTGTCCCACAGCAAAGATATCCCTTTGAGTAGACAAAAACTCCCATAAAGCTGTCTGTTATTGAAAATATAAAACATAGGGTAATGAACGGTATTCTCAAATCTGGCACCTAGTTCTGTAAAGTTAAAAAGAATACTAAAAGGGTAGAAAGGCTTATGTAACACACTCTTTCAATAGTTATTTTATATTTTTATCTCCATGATTATCTATATGATATATATCTGTATGATATATAGGAATAAACATTGTGTGTGTGTGTGTGTGTGTGTGTGTGTGTGTGTGTGTGTGTGTGTATCCTGGCCAGTTTTCTTTGATCATCCTACCAGGACCTCATATGAATTTGAACATAAGTGTGGCTTACTTCTTGATAATCTGAGGAGAATTTTTAAAAAGTATTTAGAATCATTGTGTAAGATATGAAAACCTCCAAAGAATCAATCTGTGAGGTTATTTTTTAAAGAAAAGTTAGTAAATGAGCTGTTGCTATTTACATTTAATGTTTATAAAAAAATAGTTAAAATGTTTATGGCAGTTTAGTTGTCCAGTTGAAATATAACATCACACAGTTTAAAGTCTGATGTGAGCAGGTAAGTTTAATGCTTTTCTTTGTATGTGGCAAGGTATAATTATCTTTAAGTTTCAGAATAAAACATATCCATATATTTCTCAGGGATGTGGACGTTGAAGGGCTCTTCATGCTCCACTAGATGGTCATGAGCCCATGAATATACAGTACTAAATACATTCCTTGTGTTTACATGTAAATTTTATAGATTTAGAAAATATTGAAATTTTTTTATGTTTATGTATATCCATGTCTGATTCCAGGCGTTCTTTCCTCATAGGGTTACTCATTTTCAGCATTTATGATTTAGTATAATTGCTTTATCTGCAAAGAGAGACATTGGAGCTGAATGCAGATAGAAACTTATCTTCAAACCTGCTCTCTACTTGTCATAAGAAGCAACTAAAGAAAATTTAAGAGATATATTTCTTGAGAATGAGTGTCTTCCTTTTCTTTTCTTTTTTATTTGGCTTTTCAAGACAGGACTTCTCTGTGTAACATCCCTGGTTGTCCTGGACCTCACTTTGTAGACCAGGCTAGCCTCTAACTCAGAGAGATCCACCTGCCTCTGCCTCCCAAGTACTGGGATTAAGTGCCACCAAGCTCAACTGCCAATGTGTGTTTTTTCATAGCATTACTTTTATCTTATTTTCTGACTATGTTTTATTTATCACAGAAAATATGAGGCAATTTCTCTAATATGAAAAAAAGAATAACACACAGGGAATGGTAGTAAGGTGATAATATCTGGCTTGAGTTCATTTTTATATTACAGTTCAGGATAAAGAAAACTGTACCATATCTTCATTAATAACAATATATCAATAATTCTTATTAAGGGCAACACAGGCCTTGATAACATAGGAATATTTTGTTTCAGTAGCTTATGATAACTATGCAAATTTTCTGTAAATTTAATGTTCCAGCAAAACAAATTGTTTTGACAAAACTCATTTAAGAAATAAAGTATGCTGCAGTATATTAAAAAGAAGGATAGCATAGTTTACAAGAGTTATGGATTATATCTGACAATATTTCATAATGATTATGACTAGAAAAAACTTAAAGCTAGTGTGATAAAGTTAAGTGAAAAAATAAATCTTAGACTGTGATATATATATCACTCATTTTAGTTGTTCAAAAAGGTATTTTGACAGAGCTCTTTTTCTGAAACTCTATTGTAATTCTAGGACTTCTATAGTTGAACAGTTCATGTATATATCATGGTGTTGCTTTTATCAGCTTCCTCTAATATATTCTTATAGTTTAGAAACTAACTTGCAACAATATGTAAGAGGGAAAAAATAAGAAACTTTTGGTAAGTTTAGAGTCAGAAGAAACTGAGTGCTATTGATAATATGGATTTCATAAACATTAACAACAATCACATATAAATAAAGGGAGGGTGCTATAAGCAATGATAAAGGATAAGAAATCAAGATTTTATTTTATCATTGGTTTAATAGAGAAATTTCTAATAATTTATTTCAACATTTACTACTAATTTAAAAATTTTTAAGGAGGATAAAATAACAGTAGGATGTCTGTAAAAGTCATAATAAATCATACTGTTAACTATCTACCTAAAATATTTGTAATATACTTAAGTTCATTTATAAATATACACACAGTATAAATTTAAATTTTCCATGTATGGGGACAATGTTTCCTTTAAGAGCCAAAGACCATCTTAAAGGTAGAAATAGGTGTGAGAATTTCTCTTTTGAGCAGTTGACTGGAGTTGTCCAAGAGACTTTTAAAATTCTAGGGTATTGCTACTGTCCTTGGTTGCCCCTAAGGAATAGATGGTAAACCCTTATTGCTAAAGACACCATTGACTTTAGAAACAGGGTCCAGAGACCCCTGATCTGGGACTGAAGAGAACAAATGTCTTCTCCCTGAGGACTAGTTCTCATAGCACCAGAATCATGAAGTAAGTTTCCAGAGGAAAACAAACGTTAGTCTTATCTGCTTACCATTTCTATGAAACACAGCAACAACCAGCATGACTGATAACCATAAAGATACAGTAGTGGCACACATGCCTTAGTGGTAACCAACATCTCTCTAATTAGAATTAAGACTCACTCAACAAAAGGGAAATTGTGACTGGTAGTGGAAACCTAGCCAATTACCTATTCATGGATCTTGTAGGAGACTCTGTATATACTAGTTTTCTAAACCAGAACAATCCCTTTCTACATCTAAATATTTGTCCAGATACCTACAGAAACATGAGGCCTCAAACCAGATAAATAACTCATAGCAATGAACACTTCCAAGTAAAGATGAATGGACTAAAGGGTAAGCTGTGTGACTCACTAGGCCATACCACAG